AGTGCTAGTGCTACTGCTACTACTACAACTACTACTGCTACTCCTGCTGCTGCTATTGCTATTGCTACTATTACGACTACTGCAGCTACTTCGACTACTACTACTACTACTACTACTACTGCTACTACTACTACTACTACTACTACTACTACTGCTACTACTACGACGACGACGACGACTACTACTACTACCACGGCGACTGCTACTACTTCTGCTTTTGCTTCTACTTCTTTGTCTACTACCACTATGATGGTCGTGACCCATGACGACAGAAGAATCGTTCGGTACTTTCGCCGGTTCAAGCAGAACAAGCACACTGATAGGATGAGTGCTCGCAGCAGGATTCAGGAACAAACCCGGGGATAACGAAGTGAAGTGGTGAGCAGAGGTCCTACTCGTACAGCCGAGACAGTATTAGAGATACTGTACCTGTCAGACCACCGACCACCACAAGAACTGCAACATTGCTGGTTCAACGGGTGCCAAACCGAGAACCGTGGCACCTTGCCAACCATAGAGTAGTAATGTTATTACCTCCAACAGATAAAGAAACTAGACACCGGCACATGAATCAGAGTGAAAACTCGAAACAACATTGCACAATGTCCTGGCAACAACCACGAACAGTTCTTCTGAATTGATAGTGGCTGCAAAACGTGAAAACACGTGATACTGAAAACCACGGCAACATCGGTTGCTCAGCTTGATCGTAATTATCGCGTATGTTGCCGAGCTGCTGCCAATTATGTTTCAAGTTCTAACCTAAGTATTTAGAGCAAGAGTACAACTGCTAATGTTGGCGTTCTCATATCGCCTTGGCTACTGCTGCTGCTGTCCGTTAATGTTCTGCCGTCGGGAGTGCAAACGTGCTCTTCCTGTTGTTGTTGTTGTTGTTGTTGTTGTTGTTGTTGCTGCCAGTTGCTGCTGCAGTCATTGCTTTCGTAACTGTTTGTTGGGATGAAAGTCGTTCCCTACACCCCTAAACCCTAAACCCCCAAAGCCAAATGCTAAACCCTACTACTGCTTTCGACTCCCTGAATGGAACCCGGGATTCGGAGGTACTCCGCTGCTTCGCAGGGCAAGTCTCCTCCAAAGCATCGGCGGTTGGAGGACTCCCTGGTACTTAACCCTAAACCATAAACTCTAATACTAGCAGGGAAGGCGGGTTGAAGGCTATGCTTTGTATTGAGCCGGCTTGTGGTGTCTGCGTTTGCCGTCACCGGAGGCTATATGGGTTTAGTGCACTGAGTCTAACACAGCGGCCTAGTCTAGTAATCGAAGTAGGGTTTTGTGTGGGGGCGCACAGGGGATATGAGTAGCTGTATGACTACTATAGTTCTTAAACCTAAGGACCCTATAGCATGTATTTGCAAAGGGGTGAGTCATTGACGTCTATGGTTTGTAGCTCAGGTTTAGTGTGAGGTTAGGGAATTATGTATACGGTAGTATACGGGTTATAGTCACGCGATAATGCAAGATAGTACGAGCAAGAACCTTATGGTATCAGAACCTTGTGAGTTCCCGGATACAATGCATTTGCAAGGAGCGGTGCCGGCATGGCTGGTCACAACACAGCTCTTCAAGGAACTATGTTAAGGATCCATTCTCTCCTTCCCACTATATAACGACCAGGGCAATGGAATCCACGATCGGGACCGAAACACGCGGACAGGTGCCATTGACAGTGGTCCGCAGTCCGCTGCGCCTAGTGAACGAGTGCTACGGTGCTGAATGTCAGCCTTCCTCAGACGACTGAGACATGAGTCGTGGGACCATCGAGCTAGGGACGCACTCAGATGGCATATGCAAACCTCGGGTCCAAAACCCCATCTCAAACATCTCTCGAAAAGGCGAAGAAACGTTTGTGTAAACCGCTCTGACCACTGATGCCTGAAAACGGATTAGGCCTACACAGCTGCATGGGACAGAGGCGTTACGATGCATGCTCTGGCAGTTTAAGATTCTTCACCAATTACTAGGTCTCTGCTTGGAGGTTCATGGGTAGTTATAAGTATGGTTATAAGTCCCCTAATATGGGTTATAATTCGAGTTACCCTACTTATAACCCCATTGATAACTACCCATGAACCTCCAAGTAGGTACAGCTGCGATGTTGGGAGTTCGAGACTGTCTGGCAAGGGAATAACAACGGGCCAAAGGCCCAATAAATATATCGAACACCCCCCAACACAACCAGGTTCCTCAATAGCCTCCTAGGAATAAGGTTAGCCTTTTTCCTACTATTGTTTGGTTTTGATAAGGGAACTCAACAGGAAAAAGGGCGAAAGTGTACTACTGGGGATCCTAAGCAAGGATGCCTAATTTCCAGCGAAAAATCATGAGGGCTTCTGGACCTCAAGGGTGCATGCAAGAAGTCCCTAAACCCTAAACCCTAAACCCTAAACCCTAAACCCAAGAAGCCCTAAGCCCTGAAACCTGAAGCCTGAACCAATCTCTCCAACTTCAACCCTCAGCTCTGAACCCGGTTCAGGGCTTCGGGTTTAGGGTTTAGGGGTTTAGGGTTTAGGGTTTAGGGTTGAGGGTTTAGGGTTTAGGAACAGGTCAGCCCATGCCTGCTCGCACAACAACTCTTGGAAGTGCGATCAGGTTCCCAGATGTCCGCATCACTAGCAGTGCTCTACACCATAAGCCTCAAACAGCGACGGGGCTTAGAGTCACAGGCCGACACTGCCCGGCTGCCTCTGACCTCACCTACGGCCTCACGCACCCAGCTCACGGTCCATTCCGGCGATCTCTGCCATCAAATCCGCATGTGAAGGATGCCTCCAGGGCGCTTCTTGGAGCTTTTTTGAGAGTCCTTAAGTTGTTTAGGGTTCAGGGGGTTTAGGCGTCAGAGGCTTGGGCTTAAGCCTATCATGGCATCTTCGTATGGTTCCTGGTTTAGGGTTCAGTGTTTAGGGTTGGAGTTTAGAGTTTACTTTTCTTCTCGCTGGTTGGCTTAAGGGTTTGGCTGTCGGGTTTAGGGTGCGGCTTGCGCACTTATATCTGGATCGTTGCCTCAGAACTTAGCATAAAAGTTGCCATAATGAAATCACAACGCAGTTTGTCGTTTCATGAAATACGCAGTCATAAGCCTGAACCCCCGACCCCTTAACCGGAAACCCATTCCACGCCATAAAAACTTTCAGTTCCCAAGCGAGAACCTCAGAACCCACGTGCCTAAACCCTAAACCCTAAACCGTTAAACGCTCAGTTCACACCAAAAGCCCAACACCCACGGCAACGGCACAACTCCAAACTGCAGACTTGAAGCACTAAGCCTGGCACAAAGAAAAGCAGTGCTCAATAGCAGTTTCAGGCTGAAGGATCTTCCCTACACCCTAAACCCTGAACCCCAAACCCTAAACCCTAAACCCTAAACTCCAAACCCCAAACCCAGAGAGCCTGACAGCCCTTACTATTTCCAAACAGGATCACGGATCTTCCCTGTGCAGTCTCAGAGGGAACTAAAGGTCAACCTTTGGGATGATATAGGGACTAAAGCAACTAAGGGTTTAGGGTTTACATACTCTGCTACTACATAGGGTTTGGGGTTTACATACTCTGCTGCTATATAGGGTTTAGGGTTTAGGGTAATTTCATCGGCCCGCAGGGAGGATGTGGGGCGCGGCATTAAGGGTTACGGCGCTCAGGATGCCCGCTAAACCCTAAACTCCAAACCAGGATGCCTACCCAAGAACTCCACGCGACCGCTCTCGAGATCGTAGATAGCCTCAGCTCCGATGACAGATGGTAACTTGCTAATATAGGGGCCTTAATAATTAGAGTAGGGTTTTGGGGTTACTTTTAAGGGTTCCTTCAAAAGGTTGTATAAGGGCTACTTTAAGGGTCTAATATAGGGGCCTTAATAGTTAGAATAGGATTTTTTTTTGGGGGTATATCATACTATAATTATAGTAAGGAACCCAAAATAGTACGGGTAAGTATTTAGACCCCTACATTATGCCGATGGCAACAGCATGCCCGAATGATAGCCAGGATGTATGATGAATATGCAAAACCAGTGATAATGGCAGCCGTCACTACAACGGCAGCAGAGATGCTCGTATAGCAACAGATAAGCAGAATACCAAAAGAGCAGATTGCAGTCAAGTTATGTAGGCCTCTAAGACTGGATCTTGAGCCCAGAACTTCACATGGCCCGAAATCCTACAAACCTCACCCTGATCCGTAAATCCCACGCTTTGAACCCGACATTTAAAAAAAGGGATGTGTTTCGAACCGACAAAATCACCGACTATAAGTAGAGAAACATAGAGGTCACCGCAGACTATTCGACAGTTCAGCCACTACAAAACATGACCATAACTTCACACTGTCACGGCGTCGTAATGACATTGCAACTAATAGACAACAACCACACACGCACACAAGTTCTTTCAACCAAAGCAGCTTCAAACAAGCTAAAAGATAATTGCAATGCCAATAGACATACTGCTAACGTCAACAGAAGTTAGTTTACCCACTTGCCTACTATATATATATAATATATAGATTATATTTACATACATACATACATACATACACATACATACATACATACATACATACATACATACATGCATACGTACATACATACACACATACATAAATCTTCATAACAAACCAATCATTACCAAGCTCATTCAGTCTCACCGGGGCCCCGTGCCCCTTGGATCTCCAACTCGCCATCCTTCCATCATGGATTCAGCCACTCGTGACAGGGTTTAGGGTTTAGGGTTTAGGGTTTAGGGTTCAGGGTTTAGGGTTTAGGGCTTAGGGTTTAGGATTTAGGGTTTAGGTCTGCAGCCCTCAACACTAGACCCAAAACAACCCAAACGCTATAAACCCTAAATTAAACCCAAAACTTCAGCACTCTCCCAAGGGCCGCACCTTCAAGTTGGCCCTTGTGGTACCCTTAAACTGGCCCTTACAGCTTTCATGCGCCATCCTTCCATCGCGGATTCAACCGTTTGAGGGTTCCCTCAATGGTTCCTTTAAGGGTTCCGTTTAAAGCCAACAGCCTAATCTCCAAATCCTACACCCTTACAAAGGGCCCTTGCGGTACCCTTAAATTAAAAGGGCCCTTACCTAAACCCTAAACCCTGAACCCAGATACTGGTAGTACCCTTCAAAGGGACCTCACAACTTCAACTCGCCATCTGTCAGCCTTAGAGATCCCTTTACAGGCACCCTGATAGAACTCTTTTAGATCCCTTCACAGGTTTAGGGTTTAGGGTTTACGGTTTAGGGTTTAGGGCTCCAGTTAAACCCAAAGCCCTTACTGGCTTTCACTCGCCATCCTTCAGCTTTTGGCGGACGAGTTCGCTCTTCCGGTGGAGGAACTCGATGGTGTGGAAGACCTGGGAAGTTTAGGGTTTAGGTTTAGGGTTCAGGGTTCAGGGTTTAGGGTTTAGGGTTTGGGGTTTAGGGTTTGGGCATGTTTGGGCAATTGTGTTGTTAAAGGGTCTAGGCTCTTAGGGGCTGAGAATTTAGGATGTGTGTTTCGTGTTGTTTCTGTGATTTTTGTGTGCAGTGTCTTGGGTTTTGGGCTTAGGGGTTGTTTTGTATCTTTAAATGTTTGGGAGGGCTTAGGATGTGTGATCAGTGTGTACATTAGTGATGTTCAAGCCCCTAAACCCTAAACCCTAAACCGCGGGATTGTTGATTACATGAGTTTTGTTGGGGGTTGAGTTTGGGCTTTTTTGTCGTCGGGGCAGCCCATCGTTTTGGAGGGTTTGGCAGGGCCTTAATACTTAGAATCGGGTTTCGGGGTATATAATACTGTAACCATAATAAGGAACCACCCAAAAATAGTAGTAGTAATTATTCTTCAGCCCCTTTATAAACCTTTCCGGTAGTAGCTATAATCAAGAACCCACAAAACAGTATTGGTACTTATTAAGGCCCCTAAGATTGGGTTGTAGACCCTAAACCCTAAACCCTAAACCCTAATAGAGGGGTGGTGTTTACTCTGACAGCTTGCGCACGCGCATGCACAGCCGAAAGCAGTGCAATGCGTCCAACGAGTCAGGTCACTCACACAAGAACGAGCCAAGAAGGCTCATGCATGCTGTACGACCGCGCCACATCTCTAGCAGCAGTGATCGGTTTGCCGTTCATGAAAGTACGCAACCAACCCCAAACACAGCCCTCCATAACACGGTTGAAGCCAATCGAAACCCCAGGCATCGGCCGATACACGAAATTGTGTGAAAGATCTACTGTACAATACTGAATAACAAACCCTAACATCAGAGTGGTGGAGCAAAACCTTGCTCCTCCAGCGTCGCGTGAAGCCCACCGTCCCGGCTCAAACTGTACTGGAGCTGAGATACCAAAGGCCCCTTTGAAACACACAAACAGCTCAAGGAATGAGATCTTGGCACAATGATCGTTCAGATCAAGACGCTCCACAAATTCGAATACTTTCTCAACGAAGGCTGTCCCATACTTTGCGATTTTGGCTGGAAGTGGCATGCCCCTCATAGCAAGACTGATTGCTCTCGGATTGGCACTCCACGCATCTTCAGGTCGTAAGCTGCCTTCCTGTGCCGCTTCTCGTCTGGAGGTCATTGCACTCCCCTTGTCAGAAAGGGAACTCACAGCCAGAAGAAAATGTTGCGAGACTTTGGTGATTCGACATGCAAGGTCATGCTGAGCCAGAAATTGAGCTCGCACCCTGTGCAGTTGGCTTGGAAGCTGCGCGACTGCATGCCTAGCGGCGGCATCAGCCCTCGAATTGTTGATGCATGCCCACTCTTGGAAAGGTGATGTGCAATCCGATACATCGACGTGTGAGGGCACCTTGTGTACATATATAGCATGATCAGGGGGAAGGTTCATGTGAATCTCAATCCACAAATCCGAATTGCTGCAGTCATCATCCACGAAACCCGCCGCATCAAGCTGCCTGAAACCGTCTACTACGTACGAGCTGTCCGACCATACATGAACTTCTCCTCCGAACTGTCGATGCCATTTCACAACGGACAGCATGGCCATCAGTTCAGCTCGATTGATCGTTTGCATGATACCTGGCACGAGCCCCGCCGATAACACCACACCTGTATCCGCTTCAACGCAAGCCCATCCTGCAAGTGCAAGCTCCGGATCTGTGGGATGTAGGCAAGACCCGTCAGTGAAAATATGCAGTGTCTTTTCTAGGGGTCCGGAGATGTAGAAATCCGCAGTTTCATCAGGTAGTTGATGCAAGGATTCCCAATATGGAATTTGCATGCTGTTCTCGGAAATCATGCCGTGATACTTGCTGGCAGGATTGTGAGAATTCCATGCATCCAACCATGCACTATACTCCAATCTAACGTCCGCAAACATGGGACAACGAACAAGCCGATGCTCAAGTGAGTCCACAGCTCCGCAGTGTTTGCAGTTTGGTGTAAGTGACAGATCGAATTTGGACAATCTGTCGCCTGTGTAGAATGTGCCATTTCGAATGGTGCGCAACAGGCCGTATTGCTGTCCACCGTCTCTCTTCAAACAATTTGGCCAAATCCCTTTCAAGCCCAAGTAATCATCCCTGGCACTAAGGCTGTCGGCGAGGTGTTGTTGCCAGGCATACGTTGAGAGCCGAAGCCACGTCTCGACTGGAGTGTCAACTACATTCAAACTCAACTTGGGAGTCACCCAAACCTGCAGCTCAGCATCAATGCTCCAATGCACCTGACTGAGTTCCTGCATGAATTTGCTCATGGGACCTGGTAACAATTGGCCGTCAAATCTTCCGACGAAGGCCTGCCACCACCCTCTCAGCGCGAGGTTGCGAGATAGGTGCGCGCGCATTTGTTTCAGGCATCGCCAGAATTGGAAAAAACCCGGATCCAGAAGCAAGTTATCTGCAAGCAGCATAGAAGCGACCGGAGAAGCACCGGCTTTGTCCCACCCGAGAGCTTTCATAACCCCCGACCTGAGTTTGTGAATGTGACTTTTGCCGATCAATGCGTTCTCGCATCCATGAAATGCTCGTGGCCAGAGACCTTGCATGATGCATTGAACGCGATCCTGCTGAGACATGCCGCTGCATCTCAGCTTCTGTAGAAATGGCAAAACACCTTTCATCCGTTTCACGATGACTTGATTGTGAACCGCGGCGGTGTAAGACATCTGTCCCCCCAAGTCACGTTCCCCATGTGACACCGCCTTGCCCTGAATTCGCAACTGTTGACGTCCCTGCGCTGATGTGGACCAAGAAAAGAGCTTTTTCGCATCCAGACTCAGATCCAGCACGTCACAAAATTCTTCAAGGACAAGAAAGCCGCGTAGTACCGCTGAGACGTCATCTGAAACAATTTCGAGATTGTCGACAAAAGAGAAAGGGATGCTGCTGGGCGCATACTGGCTCTGATAAGCGTGCCAACAAAGATCAATCACAACCATGCCAGCACAACTCAGAGGACACCCCTCAGGGAACCCCGTGCAACTCGATATCGGGCCACCGCAATCACTTCTTACAACGAATCTTCGACTGACGCCGTTGAGAAATCCTTGCCAAGCTTGCAACAAGTACTCCGGAACTCCAATGTATCGCATCATCTCGAAACACGGATGCCTCGGCAATGTGTTGTATGCCTTGACCAGATCTGCGACAACTCCATGCAAGCCGGACTTCTGTTGGAGTGCCAGTTCTATGCCTGCCTGAACAACAAGCCATATATCACTTGTCTCACGGTCCTGCAGAAAGCCACACTGCGTTGCAAGTTGAGAGAAAAAGCGCAGCAGTTGAGACGCCCTTATGCCCGCCCAGCAGCGGTACAGCATGCTGAACACTGTAATTGGGCGATACTGGTCAACCGTGCGTGCCTCACAATGCTTTTCCAGACTGTGCACAAGTCCTGTCAAGAGCTGTGCAGGCCATTGCCCTGTCCGCTCGATGCATTGGAAAAGATGCAGGACGTCCTCCACAAGAGGTCTGGGCATCCGTATCAAGTCAGCTCGCGACCAAGCATCCGGACCTCTCGCAGCCTTTCCCTTGAACCGCTTCACAGCTCCGACCCACATCTCGTAAGAGATAGCAGGCAGTTGTAAACTCGCTGAGGGCAGATACGCCCGTGAGAAAGCCACAATTCTCTGCCACGCCTCTGCCGGAACGTCTTCATGTTTTTGCCAGCGTTCGACCCACAACTCTTCAAGCCGCTTTTGTATCAGCGCAACATCCGCCTGCAGTTGTGAGCAGGTCAGCACAGCTCCACTTTGAAGTCCGATGTCGGCTTTAACACGATAAACTCCGGGTCCAACCCTGGCAACTGCAGCTTTCGTGGAGTCGACCTGCCATCCGAGCACTCCCTCTTCTGGAAAATCTTCATCTACAGCAACCAAGTCTGCATGCCCTTCAATGGTCCTTATGTGTTGAGAATGTACATCCACAATCGATGTCAAGGGCTCTTTGTGGGAATGTTTGATGACCTGGAAACGAGAGGCGACATCGGCGCGACGTTTGGCATTCAGTGCCTGCGCTCTCTGCCGAAGCTGCCATGATTCATATCTTCTGTAGTTGGCCTTGAAATCCTCGAAGATCAATGTTATTCCGACACAACAGGGTACACTCTGCGGCAACATGTGCGGGGCATGCTCGAGTTGAACACTTCTTGTCATCCACCAACAAGAAAAACTTGTGCGAAATCCCTTCGCTGCAAGGATGCTGTGCCACAGCTGGTTCCTGTAAAGGACTGCTTGTGGAGACTGCTTGTCAGCAGCGGCTGCATGACACAACGATTGAAGACGACGAAGCTGCTTGTACCAAAGCAAGACTGATCCGGGCGTGAGACCTTCGGAACTGACAGTTGAAGTTGACGTCTTCGTGGCGAGATTGTTTGCCCACGTCCTTTGCATGCAGCGGGCATACCCAAACCTGAGGCGTGAAAGGGATCTAATGATTTTTCATACAGTTTACACCAATCCACATATTCGGATGATGAAGGCTCGTGCCACTGGAAAGGGCGATGATAGCGATCCACACTGACCTGCCAAGCATCTGCGTCTATCTCATCCCAGTCAAGGTGGGCTGGTGTCGGCCAATGGTTCTTCACCATGTCTGGCTGAGATACCTGAAAAACCGCCTGAACGGTGGCGTGATCCGGAAATACTAAGTCGGACACTGAGACCGAATGAATTCGAGCTTGAAGCTCCGGTGATATCCAAATATGATCCGATTGAGTGGAGTTCTTGCTGGTAGGCTGAATTGGTTGTTTCCACACGTCCCATGCCAACTGCTGGACTTCCTTCCAACCCCGTGAAGCCCAGAACTCCATCTCTTCAACTGCGCCCGGGATGCAGTTGAAATCGCCCGCAATATATCTTGGCCCCTGCAAGCCACACACCACCTCATGCGTGATAGGCTGAAGCAAGGAATTCGTCAAAGCCCTGGGATTCGAATGAGTAGGGCCTGTTGGGAAGCCATAGACGACAGCTCCGGTAACACGGACTGCGCCCACATGAAATGTTGATACTCATATGTACTCGACCACTCTGGAACTGTAAACTGGGCCACGGTATTGACACTGGCCTCGACGGATAGCTAGAGAGCTGGAGGACCCCGGTCCATGCCCCTGAAGTGGAGGATCCCGCGCGCAAGGGCGCAGGAGAACCACTAGTCACCCACCGATTGTGTGATTGCAGCCGCCCTGTGCTTTTGACAAAGCGCCTAAAAGATGCCAGCTGTTCGGAGCTAGCTTGAGTTTCTGCAACGTTCCAAATCCCACAAGGAAGCGTCGTGATGACCTCAAACTTGTTTGAAATTCCCGAAGGATTGCAAGTGCCGATCATGAACTCACTTGTTGGAGGACCTGGAGTGAAAGCCTCCCCCAAGCGACAAAACTGTGTAAACACGAGAAAGACAATGTACATATGGTACCACATTCCATGCCGCACACGACGACTGCGAACGTGAGGTTCGCCCGAATCTTTACCACCTGGCATCCTGCTAGGGCCTTTGCAGAATCCAGCTCGTGCCAGTCACTCCTGTCTCTGCTTCTTGGCAAACAGAGCTTCAATGCGATCTGCATGCTTCTCAAACTGACGCTGCAAGCCATCGGCAACACCATCAACCTTCTGCGATAGCTCCGATGTAGATGCTTTCACCGCAGATTGCAAAGTGCCGCTGTCTCTGGCATTCATGCTCCAAGCTGAGAACCTTTGCTGAGGTCTCTTGGGCAACACGGCCCGCATCTTTGAACCAAGACTCGAAGCGAGCACCTTGATTCTTCAGTTCAGCAACATCCACCTCCAGCTGTTTCAACTTAACATCGGCATCAGAATCAACTTCCATGCGAGAGGTCTCCAAGCTTTCTTGCAGCTTGGTGCGCAAACGCTCCTCCAGCTCATCTAGCTTGGACTGTGCAGTTGAACTTGCGGTGGGGGTATCGATGCGGAAGTGTTGAACTGCGGGGGGTTGATATCTTGACCAAGGGTCCTTGCCATTCGCCCACGGGTCTGCAGTTGAAGCAGGCTGTACATTCTCCTTGTCGCTTTGTATGCTGCGTCGTGTTTTGAGCGAGGCAACTAAATCGACCTGCTCTGTCTGCTTGACAACCTCTTTATTCTTCGTGACAGTCACATCACCGTGAGCTGCCGTAAAAACCAATTCGGGGGGCTCGCATGATGCTCCAACCTCCCATGCAGTACCCCTGGCCCCTTTGGATGGTTGCAAAGGTTTCGCATTCCAATTCCATTGTTTCAGCGTCTCCTGAAGACTCGACCGCTGAGTCCCTATTGGCAAAGGTGCAAGACCGTATACTGACTTCACTTCGCATTTGATGAAACCCCGATCTGGAAGCAAAGTCTTGTGAAGCAACTCTTCATGTTTCGCAAGGCATCTGACTCCATACCTGTTCCCATAACGCGCAACGGTAATGGCATGCTCAAGCTGTTTGCATTTCAACTGGACCTCCTGCAAAGTAGCATTCTGAAGCCAGACAACGGCGAAACGATGATCTGGGCCTGGCTTATCTGCACTTCTCGGCTCAATGTACAAGCCGTTTGCGCCCGAAAGACGCTGCAAAGGCAGCGTGGCTGACTCCGGAATTCTGGCATACACTGAGAAGCTTTCCGCATCTATAGGCTTTGACTTGACAATGCTGCGCTTCAACCAACTCCAACTCCACAAATCCAGCAACACTGCATCAACTTGCTCATCGACTGAAGCATGGAAGTGCGGACAATCCTTACCGCACTTCTGCCCTCGACAAAGGCGAAAGAGCGGACAATGTTGCAACAAAGTATTGACAGGACCAGCCGCGAACTGGTCCCATGGAAAGGGCCACTGATCACGATAGACCTGTATCCTGACAACTGTTGTCGGATTGGCGGTGGCTTCGGGGCTAGTTTGCTTGTGAGTCCTGGCAATCTCAACATCACCCAGCTGCACAAGAGTGCCTCGAATCAGCACGGGCTCCTGTGTGACCGCATAGATGGCTGGATACCGAAGATTTGCACATGGGAGCAAGCCATGCAAGTCTTGATGCAACTCACCAACCGTCAAGATGGCTAGAGGCTCTATGCTGATTGATTTGGCACCCTTTAGAAGACCTTCAACTTGCTGAACTGTCATGAAAGCGATGCCTCTAGCCCCAGCACACACTTCTTCGGCTGCCAATTGAGCAACACCATGTCCATCAGCAGAACTAAAGCTGCCGTCAACTACAAGGAGTTTGGCCGGATCAAAGCGATTCCAAGGGTGACGGCTCCTTCTTCTTTTGTGTTCGAGTAGACTTGGATAAGTCTGCTCCGTGCTTTTGTTGAGCCATGTCGTGTATGTGTTGTTGTAGCTCTTCATACTTCACTCACATGAATGGCTTCGGCTTAGACTGTCCCAAAGCCTTCAAAGCTTGCCACGGGCTCTTTGCTTGAATTGCTTTCACAACGTTTTCCAAGCCCAGGGTTTTTATTGCAAGCTCCGCTCGCAGCCGAGCTTGGTCAGGCTGAACCCCTTTAGCGGGCAAGAAATTCGCCAACCAATCAACCGCGGCATCAGCACCCACAATGCCACCAGCAATCTCCAGTTCCTCCGGACCCCAGCGCAATGCATCATACCACGCATGAACATCAATTTCTGTGAAATCCTGCCACAAGCCTAAACGCCAACCAAGATGAAGCAATGCGAATGCTCCACACTGCACGCCGTTTGCCTGTGTGCACATATGCTGCCGCGAGAAAAGCATGTCTTCGCAATTCCATGCTCTGCGCACGGCTTCTGCAAGGAATAATGCTTCATCAACGACTTTGTCTTGCATGCCATCAACATAACATGCTTCGAACATGCAGCCTCCTGCTGCACAATCAAGCAATGCCCAATGATCTCTAGCGGCGAAAATGCACACAATGCGACTGCCTGTAAAGTCTTTGATCATGTGTTGTAGCTTTGCTGCAGCCTGCTCTGTGCCATGACGGAGAAGGGATCGTGCTGCCTTGGGCTCGATCAAGTAGACATCTTGACTAGAGGTATCGATGATACTTCGGGCAGCTCCTCGAACAGTCAGGTCATCAATGCCTTCATCATGAGCATCCCCCGGACTTTTGTCGATGCTTATCCAATGCTTGAATGTCTCATTCTGCATCAGCTCATCTAGCATCTGTTGGCACATCACGTTGCCGCGAGCTGCTAATCCGACATGATGAAAGTCAGAGCTCTGAGAGACCATGGCCGAATCTAATCACACCCGGTGGTTCCACCCCCGAGCGTTTTGCTGACACGGCCCCACTACTGATAAGAACTCGGGCCAGGGCTAGAGGGGTGGTGTTTCAATGCCTTGGCTTTTTTTTGCTCGCCAGCGCGGGCATGGTTGGCAGAGGCTTCAGGCCCGGGGCTGAGACCAGAGTTCAGGGTTAGGGTTTAGGGATCATGGTTTAGGGATTAGGGTTTAGGGTTTAGGGTTTAGGGTTTAGGGTTTTGTGTAGTAGCCCATCGTTCTCCCAGCAAGGCTCGCTCCTATTGGAGCTTACACTGAAAACAGGGCACCGTTCGTTTAGGGATTAGGGTTTAGGGTTTAGAGTTCAGGGATGTGTGTCGGTAATGTAGGGGCCTTAAGAAGTAGAATAGGGTTTCGGGGTATATATTATACTAGAACTATAATAAGGAACCCCCCCCAAACAATCCCCAAATAGTATTCTTAATTTTTTAGGCCGCGATCTAACTGACCTTTGGATGCTGTGGTTTACGCTCCGAGGCTCAGCATCTTCATGAACATATTTGTATAGATACACTGACCCTGAGAGGCAGGACCAAGACACCCAACATACATGGGTGAGAGGGTGATGCACCCTAAACCCTAAACTCTAAACCCCAAACCCAAAACCCTAAACCCTTGAAGATCCGGCCTGCTTTTAGGGGATAAGGTCCTTTTGGGACATGCACCCACCATACAGCCACCCACACGACTGACTTCTGAAATCGGTCACCGCCAAAGTACTCTGGCGTCGACGCCACTTACGTTGCAAGATAAGGGTACAAGACTATCTTTTAGGCGATGCCAGTAAAGAAGAAGAAGGGACCCAACAGTCTAATTGACACCATCAACTCTGCACTCTATACCCTCCCTCAACCCCAATGTCTAAACCACCTAGACCCTAACCTCCGAAAACTAAACCCCTACAGTCAACAAAAAACTACAATCTCCTGAGTCAAGCTTAGGCCCCCTAAACACTAAACCTCTAAACCCTAACCCCTAAACCCAAACCCCTAAACCCCTAAACCCGAACCCCTAAACCCTGAACCCCTAAAACCTAAACTCTAGGAGAGTCAAGCTTAGGCCACGGCATTCAACTGCACCGCATGGCTGGCGATGTCCTCCTCCGTGGCATCCGATCCCAGCTGTTCAGCGGCCTGGTCGTCGTTAGGTTTCCTTTACCGGGCTTTATAAGGGCTCTATAGTTCTATAGGGAAACAATAATTCTCGAAGAGTTTAGGGCTTAGGGGTTTGGGGGCTTAGAGTTTATGATTTCGGATTTGGGGCTTAGGTTTCGTGTTTAGGGTTTACACAGGAGGTTCCGATTCGTGTTTTTTACGTGAGGTGCTGCGCGTTGGGTGTCGGGTATAGCCCCTAAACCCTAAACCCTAAACCCCTAAATCCTAAACCCTAAACCTTAAACCCTAAACCTTAAACCCTAAACCAAGACAGAAAGGAAGACACGGGGAGCCGGGGCTGTTGGGAACCAGCCGTAATGCATCATATCGGGGAGACTACTTGGAGGGTCTTGGGACTTAGTAAATGGTTATTTTATAGACTTTTAAGTACTATAACCACAATTAGGGTTCCTCTTAGGGTACTTAGAAGTCTACTTATTACCTACCTACTAAGTCTCCCGACCCTCCAAGTAGGCTCCTGTGTTCTATAAGGGTTACTGCAGATACTATAAGAGTTTATATGACATAGGGGCCTTACTAATGAAATAGAATAACTACGACTTTGGGATACATGGGACTATCGTTTATTGCGGAGCCCTTCTGAAAAATCTTGACAATTTTCAGGGCCTTGTACTAGTCCGGCTTACTGGTCTAGGGTAGAGTAGTGGGTGCACACCTCAGCATACTTTACTCAATGAGCCCTATGGAGTAATAGCCTTGAGTGATACTTCATCTGATTCATGGTTGGATTATGGTTTGAGGGTGTAGGGTTTGACACCCTAAACACAGCCAAACACAAACAAGAACAAAGCCCCTGAAGCCCCAAACCCTAAACGGTAGCTCCGTTGAACCTCTATGCACAAAGAGTAATGTAGGGGCCTCAATAATTAGAATAGGGTTTGGGGGTCTCTTCTACTATAATTATAATAAGGAGCCCCCCAAAACCCTATCCTAATTATTAAGGCCCCTATACATACAGGACCCTAACGATTAGAATATGGTCTTGGGGCCCATTATACTATCTTTATAATAAGGAACCAAGGAACCCCTAAAACTAGTGTTGGTAATTCTTTAGGCCCCTAAATTATTGAGGCTAACTGAAAGTTTAGGTTCGTGGCTTCAATGGCTCTAAAGCTGAGTTGACAAGTTTAGGTTTTAGGGCTTAGGGTTTAGGGTTTACCTTAAGAACCCAAAACCTACTTTTTTGTAGGGTCCCTATCAATCCCATATTTATTAGGGTTTATAAGAAGAACCTACAAAAAAAGGGGTTTTGGGTTCAGAAGGTAGGGTCTAGGGCTTAGGTTTTGGGAAACTGTAGTCTTTCAAGCTGCCTTCTAGGGCCAGAAAAGTAGAGAATCGTAGTAGTATTGCTGGAGAGGACTATAAGAGGATACTGGTAGCAAGAATCTAGACCTCCGTAGCTAGGAATGTTTTGGTCGAATGGAGCGAAAACCCCGAAATCCTCAAGCATGTACGTACCCCCAAAGTCCCCCGATCCAAAGCCTCAAGCACTCAAAAAGCTTGGACACTACAGTACACACTGAAAAAAGAACAACCCGTTGTCTGGAACTCCTTTGCTCTCTAGCTCTGCAGAAACCCCAAACCCAAAAAAACGCATGAGGGTTTGGGGTTTAGGGCTTCCTTGCCTTCGAGATCACCACGCTCAGTCCATCCAGCAGCTTGTCCAGAGCCTTATTGACCTGCAGCCGCTTTGAAGCGGTGCTTTGAAGGAGCCCTCAAAGGAACCCCCGAAAGCCTTGTAGAACCTTCAGGAGAACCCTCTAAACCCAAAGCCTACAACCATTAATGTGAGGGCCTTAATCATTGGAATAGGGTTTTGGTGTATATTATACGCTTACTTATAATAAGGAACCCCCCAAAATGGTATTGGTAATTATTTTGGCCCCTGTATTAACTGGAGCCTTTCAGGGAACCCCTTATGGGTTGAGCCTGCTAGGGCTTTAGTTTTTTAAAATCCAGGATGGAGGTTTGAGGGTATCTGCGGGTTTAGAAGGGGTTCAATTTGGGGTTTAGGGTTTTAGGGTTTAGGGCTTTAGGGTTTTAGGGCTTCAGGGTTTTGGGGTTTAGGGTTTAGGGGCTTAAACGCTTAAACTTTTTAAACGGCCCTGCACCCTCAACCCTGCCAGATCTGCTGGGGTTCTTGCGGACTTATCATGAGGTTCCTTGGAAGTTTGGGTTTTCACACGGTTTACGCGTGAGTTTTATGGTTCAGGGCTTGCAAAAGCTTTAGGCGCAAGAGAACAAGCTCCTAAAGCAATCCCACTACGAACCTCTGCGAATCCGAAGTCACACGACTCTAAACTCAAAACGTCAAACCCTAGTTACACCGGACGGTCCCCATGATCTGTTCTTTTCTATACTAGTCCACCAGCCCCAAATCCCCTGAAACAAGCATCCTCCTCCCCTCAAGCTAAACCCTAACCCTAAATCCTACTCTGCTAACCCCAAAACCCACAAAACCCCTAAACCCCAAACCTTTACACAACCCAATAGAACCTTTAAAGGAACCCGAAAGCACGTCTAGACCCCTTATTGAAAGATCCGGACCTTCGTCTTCACTGCCGATCTGCAGCTCGACTGGAGAAACACCTGCGCCATCCCAGAGGGTTTAGGTTTTGGTTTGGGTTCCAGGTTGCGGGTTCAGGGTTCAACGGGGGTTCAAATTTCAGGGTTTACGGTTTACGGCTTAAGATGCTTTGAGGGCTAGCGGTTTAAGGTTCTCAGAGACTGCAGAACCCGTTACAGTGAGGCATATACCGTAAACCATTGTCGGTTCCTACTGTTTTTGCAAGAAGTTCTTGGAGATTCTTGGATTTCTGGTTTCCCCGGAAGGGCATCTCCCATGGCTGGTTTATAGAGTTTTTTGGATTCAACAAACAGCGACAGCCGACACCTGATTTTTGGCACATGTTGGCAGGAGAACAATGTTGTTCCAGAACAGTGTTGGAACAACAATCCCTCCAGCGACATGCGCTCAAGCAGCCCCTCGCTCAAGCCATAAAGAGTTTCGTATTGCAAATTCACAAATTTGTGGGGGCATAAATGGACATTCGATCGCGAAATCCTGTGCAGGATTTGGGTGTCGGAAATTACCGAGTACGATTCAAAAGCGGCTTGAGAGCTTATGGAATGAGGTTTCGGGGTTGTGGTGTGGAAAGCAAACATGACGGCCCGCGGCGTAGTCTAACCTTTGAAAGATTCCGACGACCTTCTCAGAATAGATGGCTTAGTTCCCAAAGGGAGCGATGCGGGATGAAAGCTGTTAGACATAGAAACAAATAAAAGTCGTAAGGTTCCTCCACGAACCGCGCCGGATTCCTAGGTGTCTTGATCTCCAGTGATCTGATGGTTTCGGGGCTGAATGTCCCGTGATGGGGTGCCCGAAAAGCTTTCATATTTTAACTACCATGCGGCGACAGCAGTGTTGGCACTAATGTTGCAGTAACTTCGGTATGAGCAGTGATACTGCAACATTAGGTGCGCAACAGACTGTAGGACACACTGAATGAATGTAAAACAGGAACACGAAAGGCCAGCAGACACCAGGTAACAACCAGGTAGCGCGCGACATCTGTTGACACATCCAGGCCATGGAAAGCGACGCCGGAAACCCCGCTTAAAGCTTTATGGGGACACGACAGACAACTCTTGGTTCTTGAAGAGATATGCCTGATGCATGGGGACTCAAGGCAGCTTGGGGCGTCGTTGGCAATCAAACCGCCACGATTACTTGGCTGGGAAGGCAATAAGGTAAACCTCTGGGGAAAGGCACAGGATACAGTGTGCATGGCACAGTGTGTGACGGATGTTATGCGAAAGCTTAGCCTGACGGTGCATGCACGTCGCAACTCGCAACAATACATACAATGGGCCCCAAACAAAATTTGAAAGATTTTGAACCTTCACCCGATCTGCAACCACCTCTCGTTTAATTACACAATTTCAACACACATTGCGCAACGCATGCACATGGCAAAGGGGGGTCGACCTGGAGGGAAGGCTCCCAAAACGGCAACTGTCACGAGGATCGCGCATGGTACATGCCTGTTTCCTGCCTGCGCAGATGCTTGAACCGGTGGTGACGCCACTGAGTCTCGCTATGTACCAAGTTGATCAAACGACCCTGACAAGTATGGTGTACTTCCTGTCAATGTACTACCCTGGGATGGAAGCATAAACTCTTCTCAGACCTCCGGCGCCTCATAAGAAACACCCCATAAACAGATTCCAACGTCCGAAAGAAGCGCCAGGTGCTCCCACACGGCGCATTCCAGGTCTGAAGAAATGCCATGCGTAGGATTTATGGCACAGGTCTTGAAGCTTACTAGGGCTGATAAGGTTCAGGATTTTCAGGTTTTGGGTTTAGGCGTTGCAGTTGAAAGGACGCGATTCGAGCCAGGGGGTCGTGGAAGTCGCACAGCTACACGAGCCCACCTCGAGACCGCCCAAAAACTATCTAACGGTATAGTGTGTAAGGCGGCATAACTTCCAGACTTGTGATGTTCTTGTTTGATAAAAAAAGTGAATCTTCCGTTGTTGTACATTGTAAGGGGCTTTCCGCATGGAAAACGTTAAGCTTCGACATCGGCACGAAACAAGTGGTGAATGCATTGTCCTTTGCCGGAGGGCTGTGGCACTGTTTGTTGCTCAGTGCCGCTGTGCTCGCAACGACTTGAAACAGACAGCATATTACATTGAAGGGATGTAGATCACCCTTTGCGCACACGGGGGCGCTCGAATCCGAAATCCGACAGTATTGGCAAGTTAGCGATAACTGTAGCTT